ATCAAATCCCTCAAAGGCAGGATTTTGTTTTTTATACTGTTCAAACTCACCACAGACCCATTCTCTCATGTCTAAGCCAAAATTTAGCACTCCGAGCATATTTGAGGGTGCTGTGCTTAAAACGTTGATCTACATCAGAAACAATGGCACCAGTAACGTAGATCCACATAAGACAGTGAAATGTTTAGAGAGCATCATCATTGCCTCAGCATCTTTTGTCATGAAAGTTCTAGTTATCCAGCCTTGTGGCAAAAATAACAACATTTTTGGGAATCTCAAATGCGAGATCTTTTGACATAACTCCTAAGTCTCACAAGTGAGACTATCGCTCTATTGAATGGTTTGAGTTTGTCCTGTACTTAATTATCTTTATTTCCTTCATTCTTCCATACAGCAACAGAAATTTGTCCTCATTAAACGTCATATTGTCTGAAGCTCACTGGAAGACTTGATATCTTCCTGAAGATTCACTGTGTTTTTGACAGACGCTACTCTAGAATATATTGGTGCCATCGGCAGTGTCATCGGCAAAGGATGTTATGGTGCTATGGTTTATGTCCTTATAAATGTTGGATATAAGACAGAGAAACAGAAGTGAGGTGAGTACTGTGTCTTGTGTCCATTCTGTTATATGCAGACCAGCAGCATAATCTAAATGAGGCCTACTAAGGAAACATGAAGTATAACCTGATAACCTCTATTAATTATGCTTCTTGATTTGAACTGAAGAGTTTATTAGCTTAATTGTGAACACTTACTACTGACGTGGTTTTAAATTATTACTAACCAGAACTCCAAAATCTTTCTTGCACTAAAGTTTGAGAGTTATAATATTTAGTTATTAAGCAATATACAGTGGAACCTTGAGTTACGAGTTTAATCAATTCCATGACCTAGCTCGTAACTCAATTTGCTCATATATCAAAACAACTTTCCTCATTTAAATTAACTGAAATGCCATTAATCCATTCCAGTGGAATTCCTGCTCTCTAGTGGCAGGACAAAATACTTGACTATGTCACTTACATCAACTCTACGGCTTATTTATCTATCACAATTTATCTAATATGACGTAATAAACGATATAACATAGAAACATGATATATACTCTAGAATGAATAAAATATGTCATTATGAATGTGACTAGTGGTGATGGCTGCAGAGTCCATTCCCCCTCCTGATTTGACTACATACCATCCCATGTTCTTATTATAAAAGAAAATGGAGTGTTTGGGAGGTTAATAACAGTAGATCACTAGTTTCATAAGGAAAGCACTGAAACAATGTATATAATTTATAAATAAGAAATACAGTGGACTCCCAACTAACGGCGGCATCGTCTAACGCCAAAATCGACTCAAGGCTCTCTTTGGCGTCAAATATTGGCTCTACCAACACCGAAAAACTTGTCTCAAGGCTTTCATCCTGAGCGCCCAGCCACTCCAAGACTCCGTGTATAGCCAGTGTCCCATTGTTTACAAGCCGTTGTGGTCAATTACATGCGTACATGTGATATATTTTGTATTATTCCATTGTTTTTAGTGCATGTAACTTCTAAAAAAGCCACCATGGGCCCAAAGAAAGTTTCTAGTGCCAGCCTTGTGATAAAGAAGAAAATAAACAATAAAATTCAAGAAAACACTTGTAGCAGAGTACCAAAGAGGGGACAGTGTGCCTTCTGCAGTGATTCAGTGATTCTACGATATGTACGATACTAAAGCAGCAGGTATCATAAAGGCTATAGTGCCAGCCAGCGATAAAGTGTAGAATTAACAGTGTAGCAAGTAAGTTAAACGAGTAAGCGACAGAAAAACGACACGAAAGTAACTCTCCAATGTTGTTGGATGCGTGTATATCTGCTGAACATACGCTGACCTGCTATCTTCCACTACCCTAAACCTCTGCCAGCATCTCCTCCATCAAACTAATTAAACTAACATCTCCTCCAAGGTAAGTGTAAATATAAAAGGACCCCAATGGAAATACGTAAGTCACTCTGACTTTTTTGGGTTATCCAAGGTACTTTACAAATGTGCTGCTATGTATGATAATCTATGTAGCTGTATATGTGTATACCAGGATAAAGTGTGATAGTGTTGGTGGCAGAAGCCTCCACCTCCAACAAGGCCTCTCTCAGTGGCGGCCCTTAAACCCAACAATAACACTTACACCATTTAGTCATCTCATACATTTATGACACATTTTATTCATTCTCAAGTATATCTCATGTTTCTATGTTATTAATATTGTTTATAATGTCATATTAGATGAATTGTGATAGATAAATAAGCCGTAGAGATGATATTAGCATCATATTGAAGCATAATAAACTTGCCTTCCTCTTGCCTCCTATGTGTCTTCCATACACCAACAAGTCAAGTCAATAAAGGTAAGTCAATAAAGTTAAGTGTGATGTTAAATTTTCATTTATCCATTTTATTAGTGCTTTATATTTGTCAGTTTTCTGTATGTATATTTATATTTAATCTTTAAAAAAAAA